GCTGACCATCTGCTGATGTGTATTAGTATACAAATAACAGAATAGGCATAAGTGCCTTTTTTGGTAACACTACCTTAAAATCAGAATTTAAGAATGCACATTACTCTTCTGTAGACCATGAACTAATGGTTTCTTGCACTCTCTGCTAAACATGAGCGAATCCACACAAGAGAAGAGTCAAGCAGCCACCATCTCACTGGAAACAGGAAATAAACAGCACCTATCCCCCCTACCCAGCTGTCTGTCTTCATGAAAACTGGACAAAACTTTACAGCTTCAAGATTCCCCCCTTTAAGTCAAATGCATTAAGGAGATATACACAGCACAAATCCCAGTGCCTTAGGTCAATACACAGAAAGCAGGTAAATTTGGCCTCTAGCAGCTAAAGTAACTTGGAGAGTCACAAGCTGGAACATGCTCTTCACTAGTTTTACATTAAAAACTTGCTTTAAGGAGACAACAAAGAAAATGAAAAAATAGCTTAGGTTTTAATAACTAACCATTAAGTGGCCACAATATACCCATACAAATATTCCTGAGATTTAAAGCACCCTTTTGCAGTGGACTTGTGTTCTCAGAAGTATCTGCATCAAACATTTCAAGAAAATTAAAAACAAACAAACAACCTTCCCCCCACAAAGAAAAAAACCACCAAAACCCCACCAACTAAACTATGTTGGATGAATTAAGTGGATTCAATTGAGTGCCTCAATACTCACTGAGACATGATAGTATATGCCCAGAATGTAAGCTCTAACTTGCCTGGCTTCATTTGATTTACTAAAGTACCCTTGTTTACAGAGTTAATTAATTTTGTTCATGCATAAACAATAGATAGGTAAGATTTATAAACCTGAAATGTAGCAAATTCTTTGGGTTTTGTTTACAACTTAGAAAAAATCATACCCATCAGTCCTTCTAAGACAGAAGAGCCACGTGGATTACTGTTCTTGTGGAGAAAAAAAACCCCAAAGACAGCCAAAAAAAAGACCCTAGTGCAGGGTTAACCAAGCTCACCCTCTGCAGTAAGGTGTGAGGAGGAGAGAGGCTGCCCTCCAGTGTTCAGTTACCAGACATCAGTAAGTGCAAGGGATAGGTTTTCTGCACTTGGCTGCACAAATGCACTCATGGAGTAGGAAACTCGCATGTGAAAGGCACATTAATGATAAACTCAGATTTGACTTGGCTTCTTCCCCCCTCCTATTTACTGATTTAGTTGAGCTGGTTTGGATTTAACATAAGGTACCACAGACACAATGATTTATGATTTATGAATATGTGATCTAAATTATGCACTTATTTTCAGAAGGCTACTAAAATGTAGTTTTTCCTAGAAGAGGGAAAAATCATTAATAGACACAGTCAAGTAACTTCTGCAAACACTGCCAGAGTTCTGTTGACCTATTTGTGATATAGTAGTGTTAGTGGCTGCACGTTTGGCAAGTTTTGGTCACTACTGAGACTGAGGTACTATGTTACACATTATTATGAAAGCATGCACTGAAAAGACATTGAGAATGCCTAAACAAAACCCCCATGCCACCAAGTTTCTTTAAACTAAGGAGAGAACAGGTTACTACTAAACTATTAAATGGAAAACACATTTTTCTGCATCCCAAGACCTTCCATAATATTTGGCCTTGATGATTTTGAGCCTAAATATAGCAAGCTACTATTTATCAGGAATTCAAAATTAATCCAATTAATCTTCTCCCTGACTTCCTTCTCCCCATATCCTAAATCAATGTGCTGGATCACAATTCCACTTCAGTTAGTGAAGTAGATCTTCACTCTACATCTCAAAACTTAAAATAAAAGCTCACCCATTATTCTAGTTTTGACTGGTTTTAGCAGCTTATCACACAGGCTGATATATTACATAATTTTATTTCAAGAACTCCTTCAATTATATGCCTAAGACTCAAAATTTGAAAACAAACTGATTAGTTTTAAGGCACCATGATCGCTTCTTTAGCAGACCTAAGCAGAAGGTAAATAAGTAACTTATATTAGCACAAATAGTCACGTATGGTTTCAGGGTATGTACATATATCAATGGGGAAAGGGTAATGGAGCAGTATCAGGTGTTAAACTTCTATGTTCTTTAACACAAATTCAATTCAGCACCAGTCAGCTGTAAGCCACAAATCTACTATGATTTTAGACAGAGTTCTGTGATTTTACAGACACAAAACTATTAGCTATGCATATTCATGTACATAAACTCACCTGTAAAATGAACTATTCTCCCTCCAATAGCTTACAACTTCATATATTCAAGCTCCCTTTCTTTTTTAAAGCCAGATTGACTCTCCTCATAGAAGAATCTTTAAAAATACAGGCCTACCAAACATTTTAATAAGAAAATTAGTATTCTGTTTTTTCACTTTAATTCTTTTATAGAGCGAAGTCTTCTGGAATCACAGTTATAGAAGATTTTAAAAGTTTCATGATACAGCAAATTTAATTATGGGGAGAGACATCAGAATGGGAATTATAAATTTTATAGTTTCTACAAACCAGATAGAGTGACTTGTTACTATAAACTCTCTCCTTTGACTTCTCATAGAATACAACATTGAAGAGTGAATGCAGTTTGTTCAGTAGCCTTCCATTAGATGAGAAGTGTCTGATCCCGTTTGTTTCAATGCCATACATGCATTCACCTTCAATCAGTGCTCAGGAGCTCAGAAAAGCAGCACACATCTTTTAGGATCACACTCTGAATCAGAAGCAGTCCCTACAAGAAGAGAAATTCCAGGCAGCCCTATGGCTTTTCTGACAGCAGGGCACAGTCCTGCTGGTTCGTCCACCTGGACCAGAGTCAGCTTGGGAGTAGGAATGTGCTGTATTAAAGCACTTTTCTCTCCTGCACCCCCCTGCTGCTCCTCAGCCCTTTCCTCCACCACATAAAAGAAGAGCTGCCTTTCTCATGATACAACATAGGACAAGATTCCTCCTTTTCATCCAAGAAATACAGAAGTAACTGCCACCAGAACTACACAAAAAATGTGTTCCCCAATGTCGTGGTTTTAAACCAGTAACTAAAAACTACTTATTTTTTAAGTAAATTTTTTGGGGTAGCTTTACTTTTAAGACAGCTTGGAAGGAGAGGAAGCTGAAGCTGCTGGTGGCTGATGAGAGTTTTTTCCTCCTGACCAATTATCGGTCATTTTCAAGAATTGACAGCAGATCTGACTATTAAAAAGTGAATTCAACTTGTAAACACCCCCTTAAGAAGTACAGACAGAATTCTCTTGCCCTCTTTAGTTTCCGGCTTCGGACAAGGTAGCAGGCTCTGTCTTGGCCTCCTCCCCCCCTCTCCAGGCCTACAAGGCCGCGGGGTGGAGGGGGGGGGAGAGAGAAGAAAAGCAGCGCTGGTCAGCCGAGCTTGGTTTTCAGTTTTTGTTACTAGACTGAAACTTAACACCATGAACTCTTGCAGTTTTCTTAAAGCTTTTAATTCTTTTACTACCTGGATAAACATACAGATTACTCCTTTTCTCAGAAAGACAGAGAGAGAGACAATCAACATAGAGGAGACATCATAGAACCACCAAAAACAATGAAGAAAAGAGTTAAATTTAAATAAGAAAGAGAGAATAAGGAGATGCTTTACAGCTGAAATATCTTTCTGTTAAAGCTATGGAGATAGACAATAATAGTATAAAAAGACTCCTTTAATTCATGATAAGAGTATTAAGAGGAATGAGATATTCAAAGTGTAACTTTTGAGCAGAAGAGAGAGAGAGAGTACTTGTGATACTGTGAGTTGCTGGAATTGAATTGAGTGAAGATTTTGAAGCTTTAGGGGCAAAGAGAAAACTGTTTTCCAGGAAGGCTCACAGAGACAAATGAAGAAGACTTCTGCCTTTGAATAACTTATCCTTAAAAATAAGATTCCTAAACTCTGTAACCCATACACACCTTAGAGATGTGAAATGAGAAGAGAAGATCTAATGACAGATTTCCGGGCAGCTGGCATTAGAGAAATAGAAAACTATGATGAAAAAATAGTTTTCTCGTGAGAAACTCCGTAAGCTAACAGAAAGAGACTTCTGTTTCTCTGCAAAGACTGATGAAAGACTGTAGCAAGAACTAAAACTGTTTTTAACCACCAGAATCCTAAAGTTATTTGTCTCTATGTTGTCATGTGTACAGAGAAATAGTTAAGATGTAGAAGATAAGGGAGTTTTCTGAAAGTTTATTCTGGTATTCTCATTCTTGTAGTTTGTTAATAAACTGTCTTTATTCCTTTTAAGTCTTAAGCCTGTTTTGCTCTTGTTTTAATCCATATCTCACAACAAAAAAAATAAGTAGTTTTTAGTTACTGGTTTAAAACCACGACACCCAACTACTTTTAAACTGCTCTTAAAAACAGGTTGGTAAAAAGCCAGCTCCCTCAGCGGGCAGAACGACACACCTACATGTAACTCTAATTCAGTAGTTCTGAACACAAGATACACACAACTTTTTGGAAGGACTGACCATCCAACATATTTGTGTTCATCAGGTTACTCAGCAGGACAGAATTACGGCATATATTCATCCCTACCAAAGCAAATTATGTAAATATTTTTGACTGACCAGCAAGCATCTCTGATCTAACTGAAGACTATTTTAACAGCATCTGAACTATCAGTATTGTCTTTTCCAATACAATCATACATGAAAATGAGTAATAAATCTTTTCAAGAAGCATAGGATACTAAAGGAAACAGGAAAAGAATAGTTTAAAAGCGAAAAAATTATCAAAGGGCTAATTTGTTTTTCAGAATCTGGTGAAGTTAACAAAACAAAGACCCTGTCTCACGAAAAAGGAAACCTTCAAAACAGAAAACAGAACTTGTGGAAAAGTAATGTTGAGGTGGCAAAAAAGAGACACATTTTGCTTCTACCTTTCTCTTTTTGGGGAGACAGTTTTCACAACACAGATATAAGCAGAAATCCTCATCTTTAGGTCTGCTACAAACATGCATGCTGGTATCAAGTTTACCTACCAGTCTGGTACTGTGTGCCAATCAGTGAATATTCCACCTGTACACTGAGCACCACATTCAATGAGATGACCTGCAAGACTGAGAAAATGGCATTTAAGTAACTAAGGATAATGCAAAATCATTTTTCACAAATCCAGTTTTAAAATACAATGAAAATAGAGCTAAATAACAAAACATGCTATCTTCCTCCACAAGTATCTAACACAATTATGAATTATACATTAAGCATAACTTGGAATCCTGAAAGATTAATGGAGTGTTTAAAGGACATTAACAAGAAGAATTTGTCTACAGAAAATGGATACCTATATTATTGTCTCACACCTAAAACAATGTTTCCTTAGTAATTTCAAAACTTGATCTAAATTCAGTATCTTTGTAGTCTGTGCTGTTTGTAACTAAATAGATAAAGACCATTTTAAAATGAAGAGTGAAAATCTCACCTCCAATCTGAAGGACACAATGTATTATGATTATGTATTACTATTTTCAAATTTTGATTGTGATAGTCCATAAATATTCAACAGAATTATGTGGAAAATTTCACCTCTATCATCTCCAACTCAGTGGAGCCCGAATTAACTTCTCTCCACATTTTTTCTCAAGCAAAGATTCAAGAAAACTAGAGTGTTCTCAGGGTAAGTAATCACTCTTTTATGAGGACTTCAGTTGAGATACATGATGTATAATGTTAAATTAGGAGGCATAATTCTACCCCTTTCTGAATCAGATTCCTAACCTTAGGACTACAACAAGGATTTGTAAATGGGAGCACTGACACTGAGCTTCAACAAAACCATACCAGGATGGTGCCTTCTGACTGAACCTGCTTTTGTGTGTCTTTCAGAATAAGCCCTGCAACCACCCCAACTATCAACAGTGGCAGCCAAACAGAAAAACCTGGCAATCAGTGGCCTCTACTGTAAGATTTAATCTCTTGACATAAAATGAACAGCAAGATAAAGTCAAGCAGTTAAATAAAATCTTTCAACCCTTTCTTCCTTTTCTTAAGCTGGTTCTAGAATGAAATTTCTATAATTTCAATTCCATGTGAGAGTAGTAAGTGAGCCTTGAAAAAGAACTCAAAACCTAACAAAAACATATAAATAAATGAATGCAGTGATAATAAGAAAAATAAGTACATGCTGAGAAAGTTGGTATCTTGACATTATGATATGAAATACAGATTTACCCCATTTCTTCTTATATCATTTACCTTCCCGCAGCTAGCAAGTCATAGTCATCCCTATTCCAGCCAAACTAGAAGAAAAACACAAATATTTTAAATACACAAAAGTTTCATACAGTACAAGAAACTGCACACAGTATGTTCTTTGCTTTGAATAGTAATGCATTGGATATATTTTAAATCTAAAGAATTGGCAGGCACTGTACATGGATTTGAGTTCCTATACAGCAAATTAGCAAAGAAACATCTAACACATTTCAGTTTTCCTCCTACTGATACACCCCAAAAAATTTTAACTGTGAAAGTCATACCCTCCTCAAAAAACCTGTAAGTGCAACATCCTTATTACTCAAAACCTGCACAACCTACAGGTTTAAAAGTATAGTACCTATCTTGTGTAACCTGGACAAACAAACCACTATGCACCTTCAACTTTTGAAAATTATCAGTTCCTGGAGTACTACCAGTCACCCTCAAAAATTCTAAGTATGCTTTCTGTTTAACTGGGAATTTTAACTAGAATCTTTTTCCTGAGTTCAACTTGCAAGCAATCCAGTAATTGTTTCTTATTTAGAACTTTGAAGAAATCTTCCTAAAACCTTTCCTAAATAAATTAGATAAGGTCTCTCTGGAGTAGATAATACACACTGATAGTTGTTATTTTGAGAAAGTAAACAACCACGAATAAAATCAGAAGTCATAATGGAAATTATAAATGGAAAATTGATTAGGCAGTGTTTGACATGCATGCAGTAAAAAGAACATGATGTCTTAGAAAGCATGTTTTTAACTAGACACATATTCTCCTATTTTTTTTTAAATATGCACCATAAGAATGCATCTATATTTCACTATGTGATCCTTCACAAAAATAAAAATTAATGAAATCCTATTAAAAATACTTCAGAAAACGACAATACCATGCTTGTTGGATTTTTTGAATTCCAAGGAATTTCAGAAATGCTGCATAGAAACTTGACTACTTTAAACAAAACTGCTTACCCACTGAACAACAAAACCCAGTGTTTTAAACCACCTCATATGCTACCTCCCAACCAGAGTCAGCTCTACTATCGACACCTTGTGGTAAAGAAAAATATACTTGCACATTAAATTTTGAGGAAAGGAAACGGAAAAAAACACAAAACAAATGGTAAGAGTGAAATACTGGTGAAAGAGGCTAAGACTTCCTAAACTACACTTGTGCTTTCCAGCTTAATGGTATACAAGTTAACAAATATCCCTGCTGCCAATTTAGGAGAAGCTGAAGCTGACATTTCATGCAGGTAGGAAAAAAATACAATGTTCATTATTTTTAATTTAGTATCTACATTTTCATAAGGATCAAAAAGCTGCCTGACAGTGACTGCTGAATATTCACTCACATATATTCATTATCATTCAGAAATTAACTTGTACTTACAGAATGAATGAGTGGTCCCAATACAATCCCGCTGTCTACACATCTGCCCGTCACAACAATATCAGCTCCAAGGTCTAGAGCTCTGCTTATCGGTCTTGCACTAAAAATGACAAAACACAGAAGTAAGTACTTTTGTCTTTTAAAGTATCATTTAAAAAACAGTTCCCTGACACATACAGGTTAAAAATCACATAAAAATTGCCTAGGAAATCAATAAAATCTACTTTGACAACCAATTTGTGAGGTATGTACATCAGAAGTATTTTAAAGAGCAGTCATGAGGGCACTATCAAATTCAGATACCTAAATAACGTAACTGAAACACTTCTCTTAATGTCCATAGAAACTTAACTGAGCAAAGTGCAGAGACTTCTATCATCAATTACAGAAAAGAGTGTTTTTCAGAGATTCATTATCCATTTAACTTGTAGATGAGCATATAAAGATGGAACATTCTTCAGGAAAAAAGCCTGGTGACTTAGTCCTCCAATTTTAAACCTTTCAGGTCAATTACGTAAGTGATTTAAGAACTCACAATATTGTCCAAATTCAAGAGCACTGTGCAAGAACAGTATCACCAGGATCAGCAACTGGAAGAGATGCATGTGACCACTGTCTAATTTCTCAGTCCTTCTCCTTTACTAGACCAGATTAACATTGTTTCATCTGAAGTGGATGGTGAAAACATGCCTTCACAAAGAGGTAGCTAGAACACCTGAATTCAGAGATTTATGAAAATCCTAAGTATCGTAAGTATCATAAAGGAAGGAAGCGAGATCTTTCAAAACAGGTGACCATCCTGAAAAACCAGTTTCCAAAATTTCAAGAGTACAAAGCCTGGCACTGAGTTCAGCACAACATAACAGAACCTCCTACAGCACTCAGACTATATCCCAGTACTTGAATTCCTTGCTGGCACTTCTCTAGTGACAACTTAGTAAACTACTCCATTCTGTAACAGAATACTCAGCATATGAAAAAGCATTTTTGCAATTGCTGTAATTTAACTAACACTGTTTTGGCTTGAACTAAAACCTGATGATTCACAGATGGTGTATTGCTAAGGAGTCATAACTTGCAAGGTTATAACTAAAGTTCATTTACAAGTTACAAACAGATTTTTTTTTCTGGTTGCCTGAGTAATTTAAAGGTGAACCTCAAATACTAAGTGGTTCTAACTGCAAAGCAAAACAAATTCCTGTATTCAATGTGTTAAATTTAGTTGTTCATAATAAATACAACTTGCTAAAATAACTCACCCAAGATACACATTCATGCTGTGAATATTCTCTGGAAATTGTTTGCCACTCTCTAAATCGGTGATACCAGCTCCTTTTAATTTCTCTTTCTATTAGAAAACAAGAAAAATATCCAAGCTATGAATATTTTGAATTTTCTACTGTAAGCTTCTCATTAGTATCAAACAATAAATCCACTTCATAGCAACTCTCAGCCAAGTATAATTATTAACAGTATTAACAATACCAATCAGTGGAATGGCTAAAAGCCTTAGATACACTTTTAACCACAACTTTTCCAGCATGCAGAAAATTAAGTCAGTCTTCAAAGAATGTTCATTTATATATAACCAACAACAACAATCTGGTGTATTTCCTAGGCTTTAAACTGTGTTTAATTGCTGTACAAATAAATAAATCAAGCCCTGCAAACAGAAATGTATCTGCCACATCTGCAATGGTGTCATGGCCAGAGAACAAGGCTAATCCTGTAGCTTCATATGGTACTGAGAATAAATTCTGTTTCCAGAAAAGTGGTTGGGGGGTAGTGTGTGTTTTTGACCATGAATCAGGCAATTTGGCAATCCAGTGGATTGAGGGGACTGTGACTGCACAGACACAATGTCCATGTAAACACTAATTTACAAGTGGGATCTGTAATGTGGGAAAAAACCCCAAAACTTCCACTCTGAAGTAATTTGGTATTCTATGTTAATGACTGAAATCCTCCAAACCACAAGTAACGTTTACCATGTTTCATGTATCAACAATATAAATGTCTGTAGGCCATAAAAGTTGTGTCTTTTTTGTTCTTGTAAGTTATGTACTGACAACAGCATAGAAAAACAATGCATTTCAGATCAGACATGTCCATAACAAGCTCAAATTTGTACCAGTAATGAAACTCTGGCCCACAGACAGTAATTTCAGTAGGGCAGAAGTTTCTTAAAAGGAAGTCCAAGCATCACACATAACTTGCAAATAAAGAATCTTACTTGATGATCTTCCACATTCAAGAGCATGCAAGGAGTAACAGATCCTATGCAGATAAATAATTTTCCAAGTTACAGGCAGAGATTTAACCACAGTGCAAACCTCTCCTCTCTTAACTACTATTATGTATAAATTCTTTTCCCAGTAGCTTTTCAGGTATGGCCAACTTTTGTTTTTTTTTCTTTCAGATTTCATAGATAAAGTGTAATTCTTTAAGTTAAAAAAAAATCCCATCATTTAATCTTTCAATTTTTATTTTTTTTTAATATTTAAACATCAATCTTTTCACATAACATTACCTTACTGTTATAAACTAATTACTTCAAACCAGAAAACCAGCTGTCTATAAACAAAACAACATCAGGAAATGCCTGTAAACCACTAAAAAAGCTAGAAGGGATAAACATTTGAATGTGTGGTAGCTACACCATATTCAGAAGAATTAGCATGCATGATTATCTAGTTTAGACAGAAGCAGTAACAGCCTGTAATAGCTTCCCCTAAAGAGCAGGCAGACGTTACAGCAAATTCACATTTTGCTTTAAAAAGCGAAACAGAAGACCCACAAGCTTATAAAATTCACCTGCACTAGATACCAAAAAACAGATATGCCAAGAATTGTATTTATGCATTAAGAAAACCAGAAAGATAATGAAGAACAATGCCTCTGATAGAAGAAGACTACTACATAAAGACACAGAAAATTCTTATGGAACAGCAAATGCCACCTTCAAGCTATACAGACTCATGCTATTAGCGCTTAAAGTGAAATACCTCACTCATCAGATCATCTCCAGCAACAACAGCTATTTTCAAATCAACATCTGCTTTCTTTGCCACCTCCTGAAGGGCAGCTGCACAAGCAAGTGGATTAATTCCACCCGCATTACTGATGACACGAACACCTAATAGAAAAACAAAAGGCAAATAAAGCTCAGTAGCGTCAATAATCAATCACCTGTACTTTTCAAAGTCTGCTGAAACCCAAGTAAGGTACCACCTTCACAAGGTAACAGACATTCAATCAAGAAAAACATGAAAACCACATTAAAATATAAACCACATTTAACCTGTGAAAGGATCAGAATAAAGCAGTATAAAATTGTTTAGAGAAAAATAACTGCTATAGCTACTTCTCATCTATCCTTTATGAATGGAAGGAGAAAGTGACCAGAAAGACACATGTAATGAGGCAGACAGACAGCCTCAAACATCTCCGACAGCAACAGTAGTAGACACTGTGAAACTTTACTTATGTAAACAAAAAAAGAATGAGTGCAAAGTCATATTGTAGAACTATGTAGGAATTTTGAAAAACTTAAATTACCTTGAAAACACCTAGATGTCATATTTTAAAAAACATCTGTAGAACAATTTGCCATTCACAAATTAAAGCTACATTAGGAAATGCATGGAAATATACGTATATATTTACAATTATATCAAATATCCTCAATCAACCCAATTTCACCATCAGGCCTGTACCCCACATCAATTACAATGGGATTTTTCCTAGAATGGTTTGGGTTAAAAAGACCTTAGAGATCACCTAGTTCCAAGTCTCCCACTATGGGCAAGGCTATTCAGGACTCCATCCATCCTGGCTTGGACCATTTCCAGGGATGGGACATTCACAACTTCTCTCAACAACCTGTTCCAGTGCCTCACCACCCTTACAGTAAAGAATGTTCTCCTAGTCTCCAGTCTAAATCTACCCTCTCTTCAGCTTATGGCCATTCCCCCTTCTTCTATCACTACACATCCTTGTAAAAATTCTACCTCTCTTGCAAGCCCCTTTTAGGTACTGGAAGTGCTGTAAGGTCTTCCCAGAGCCTTCTCTTCCTCTGAGTGAACAGCCCCAACTCTTCATAAGCAAGCGTACTGAATTAACATACAAACTCATGCAAGGAGTAGCATACCTTTCCTGTGAATATCTTTTATATAGGGACCCATGGCAGTGGAGACAAAATCCGGAGTGTAACCTAAAACCTGAAATAATTAAGAGCTGTAACCATTTTCTTAAAGAATGTCAACCAAATCCGCCTCCTCGGTTAACACAGAAAACAGGGAAGAAAAACTACCCCTCAAAACGTTTGGGGAATACGATGGGAAACGATATGAACAACTTCACTAGATGAAACTGTACAGATGCAAATAAATACACGCGAATAATAAAGTTTACTTAAGAAACCGTGTCCCCGTAAGCAGGTATGCCTTGAACAGCTTTCGGGCACGATCTGGGCTGAAGGAGAGTTTGGCAGGTCGCGAAGTACCGGAGCGCACCCTCCCCGGCCAAGCCCGGCACGCTGGGGCCGGACATCGGCTCTACTTACGGGAGACCGGGCCTTGGCGGCCGTCAGCAGCGACATGGTGATTTCGGACAGGTAATCGAAGACGAGGAAATCCAGCTTCCCTCCGTACAGCAGCTGCGGCACTGGCGGGGCAGGCAGGAAGGCACCATCAGCACGGGGCACCCGCGGTGCCGGCCCTACCCCCGGTGCCG